CTGAGCATGTAGGCGATGTGGTTCTGTACGAGAAAGAAGCTTAAAGTCACCATAGGGGGAAGGCCCAATGTATATACAAGCATATCGTTCCATGACCGTCGTGACAATATCGCTCGCCAACGTGTCGTGCTGCACTTTAAAGTACGTCTGCTGTTGCACCGCCTCCTCCCGAGCCCGCTCAATACACCGTGTCTTGTAGGATTCTGTGGTCATGCTGACCTCCACGTTACCAAGATCCTCCGCAACAAGGGTAATTATGGATCCATCTACGTGAACGTAGCGCTTTATTTCGATGGGGAACCGGTACATGACGGATTCTTGACTGAAACAGTCTGCCATATTCATTGCGAAATGACCCACCACCACTTCTGAATCAAAACCAAGAGTACTTAACGGCTTTTCCAAGAAGATGGTGCTACCGACATTCGCCGAGCACCCACCACTATTTTTTACAGTGGAGAGGAACAAGGGCGTAGTCTCAGTCTGCGATGTCGGTGTTTTTTTGTATTCCTCCCTCGCAGAAGATGTTCGCCAAAGTGATTGCCTCTCCCTTTGTGTGTTCCCTCCCGACAGGGTCTGCGACTGTAACTCATTGACGCATTGCGGGGGCCCATAAGTTGTGTGGCCTGACGTCCGCCGCCCTTTGGGAGTCACACTTTGCTCCGACGATTCGGCAACGTGCCCTGCCCGTTTACGGCGTTTATTCCACACCGATGTGTAAGAAAAGATGCAGAAACCTAGCACAATCCCCAGGGCAACGCATATGCTGCGAGTGTGAGTGGCATCCTTGCCGGTCCATAGAGACATGACCAAACTACATAACACTAATAGCCGGAAAAACGAGAGCATATACACTGCAAAATGCAAACACGCATTGAAGAATTCAAGCAAAAAAAAAAAAAAAAAGGTGATCGGCTTCTCGCTACCACCACCACCACCACTCCAGAAACATATATATATATATGATGCAAACCGTTTGTCATTTAATTGACAAACGGCTTCATTCATTCATTCGCATCTGCAGACTGTTTCTCCACTGGTTTCATTCATTATTCCTCCACCCTATCTCTTTCTCCCATTTTCACTTGAGCAAAAGGTGCTCGCTAAGCTCGGCATGGCGACTGAGAACAAGGTCCGCTGCATGAGACAATTCTTCGCACACGGCGGTGATTCGCGCGTCCCACGCTTCCAGCACAGATGTATTCTCCGGCCGAGAGAAAATGACCGTCTCTGTTGTCTGATCGAGACTTGCATCTAACCGCCGTTCCGACGCCATTCGCGCCACAAGTTGCTCTGTTTCAGAGGGAGTGATGCCAAGGAGGGTCCCAAGTTCCTCAAAGCCAATGTTGTAGTAGACTCGAGAAATGGCCTGCAGGTTGTGCTGAATAAAAGCGCGTTCAACGGCGGCTGTGTCGGAGAAAGACTCGACATACGGCAGGAAACGCTGAAGGTCGCTGGGGCGCAAGAAATGAAAGTGATGGGCCCGGTAAAGAACGTCGTAAAGTTCCCCGAGAAGCATTGCACTCTCATCCTTGAAAAAGGCTCCTAGCAGACTCGAGCGGGTGGCGCTCGCATCCGCCTGAATAGCGCAGACGATGGCCCCACGAAGGTGGTCCAGACTTTTGGTCCGCACATACAATTCATAGAAGCGCTGCGACGACTCCAAAAATCTGTGCCTCACCGCTAGAAGGGAAGCAAAGGCGTGCAGGAACGCGTTCACCACATCGTTTGCCTCAGTTCGCATCGACAAGGCCTTGTATGAGGCCAGTCCCCGCAGGCAATCCGTCTCGGCCGTGGCAAAGTTACGGGTACGAAGGGCACTGTTTAAAAGATTCGTCAGTAGCTTCAGCGACACCACGTCATCATCGACAGGAAGCATGAGACGCCAGAGTTCCTGCGCCTGCTCTTCATCACCTGCTTGCACGCACCAATCCGCCACGGCCCCACGAACATCAAAAAGCGCTGCACCCCAAACTGCACTGCGATGCGTACCAGCTGCCAGTAGCAATTTTCCGGCCTGAACGGCAAATATAAGATTAACGCGCGCCGCTTCATACAAATTCCGCAGAGCGTATGCAATCGCTGCTCGTGAGGCCTCGCTTGGTGCCACTTCCTTCAGTGCCGACTTGACAAATAATTCCCATTTCCCCAAGTTTTGAGAGGCGACAAGGGACGCCACTTGTGCTTCTGTATAGCTGCCCTCTTCTTCTTCTTCTTCAGCCATTGTACTACACAAAATTCTTGCAAAAAATAATAAAAAATACGGATGCAAAAAATCAAACTAGGTCAATCATATTGATGCCATCAATTTCCATAGCAAAAAATTTCACGTCTGCGCACACAGTTATATATATATATATATATATATATATATATATATATATATACGACAGTAACTGCCAATAGTATTAATAATCCCCGAGTTAATCGTTTTATGGGAGGGAGACAAAAGAGGCATGAATGGCTTATGATCCTCGCTCTTTCCTTGTCTTCTTGGCTGGACGATTCAAGAAGTACTCCACGGTACTCTCAGCTTTCGCGTCCTTCTGCGACTCCTGACGCTTTTCTCGCCTTGCCGTGGCAACAGCGGCGGCAAGATCCACAAGTTCAGATTTCGTTCGTTTGTCCTTTTGCGCGACGTCCAGATGAAAGCGCGTGTCTGTAAGCAGTTTGTTGCGAAAGCGCGGGTCAATTGTGTCAGTTACGGCCTCCCGGCGCTGCGCCTCCCGTACTTCCCGGCTGACGCCAAGCAAGTTAGACGCTCGCATCTTTTTCTTCGCCTCCCGCTCAGCGGCTACACGCTGCTTCACCAACTTGGCATGAGACTTCCTTTTTTCCCGTCCACTCATGTGCGTGGCACCCGCGTCGTCGGTACCAAGTGTCTCACGCAAAATTTGCCGCTTCTTCTCGCGTTCTTCTTGCTGTTGCGCCAATTCATTCTCTCGTTCCTGGGCCAACATCTCTTTTTTTGCCTTCCGCATCTCTTTCCGCCGCAGCCTGTACTTGAGCTCGGCTCGACTACCCAAATCGGCAGAATTCATCATCTGCTTGATCTCGGCTTCGCGCTGCAGGCGTGCTGCTTTCGTCCCCGCGTCGAGGTCGAGGGTGGCCTCCATGTCGCCCATAACTCCCTCCTCACCGGACATGTTTGCCTCCCCTTCCTCTTCCTCGTCCAAGTCGATATCGCTGAAGCGATTTAACGAGTTGTCATCGCCATCGCCATCACTGGGTTCATACCCTGCCTCCCCCTCTTCGGCCTCGCTGTACTGCCCATCCTGGGTTAGCCCACCAATCTCCTCCAGCAACTCGGCGTACTTCTTTCGAATGCGGAGCTTCTCCCGAACACTGTCCTTTTTTCCCCTCCCATTGGCATCAACAAAATCATCCTCGTCGGATGAATCGGGTGGAGCAATATACGCCGCAATATCGTCCTCCGCCGTGTACCGGTGAAGCTGTCGCGGATGGAGCGATAACGGAAGATGTCGTCCTGATCCCACGAAATACGGAAGCGAGTCTGCGAGAGCGCCGTGGCCTTGAACGAGGCGAGAGGTCTGTAGTTCGCCGGAATACGGTCAGCCCTATTGACAGGGTTTTCAAACACCTCCTCATCGTCAACGTAGCGCAAGTCCAGTACGACACCACTTGCCTCAATGTCCATACCATCCAACTGCTTGTAAACCGTTTCTGCCGTCTCAGCCGAGTCGAAGGTAGCAACGGCATAGTAGTACTTCATGCGATCACGCTCATACCTACGATACTTCCCTTGCGAGAAGAGCTCTCCATCCCCACCCTCTTCGTAAAGCATTGCAGGATTGTCGTCCTCCCACGGATCATCTTCGTCATCGCTACAATTGTCATCAATTTCCATACGCTTCGACATCATTTCTCTGTCGTTGATGTCCTTTTGGTCGTGAAGGCCAGCTTCGCGGGTGCCCGCCTTCTCACCCTTCCTAACCCATAGATCTGGGCCGTGCACACGTTCGTGCTCGAGCATTTTTTTGCCGAAATCGCTCATATACACAGCAACATCGATCAGCTGTCCACCAAGTGGAAGCGCGTAAAAGAGAATGGCGTAAAGATCCACTGCTCGAATATGATCCCAACTGCAGTTCACAATCGCTACGCGACGGCGTGGTTCAATAAATTCCACATCCGATGCGGACCATGCCGCCACCTCATCGTCAAGCTCCTTCTCATCCACCTCCGTCAACGGGATGTTACCCTCGTCAGCGGCAGCGTGCTCACTGCCTTGATCTAAATCCTGATAATCCTCCTCCACTTCTTCCTCGTCCTCGTCGGAGTCTGCCGGGGCTCCTCTCGCTTCCTTCAGGTGCTTCAAAAAACGAGGGTCTCTCAGCGCGGCGTCACGCGGACTGTTGCCAACCCACGCACCACGGCCACGACGGGAAACTCGAAAGCGCGCGTCGGTGTACCGGGATGCAAACCGTGCATCTCCGCGGCCGCCCCGCCCACCGCGTCCACGCAATGAGCTCTGTAGCGTCTTCATTACTTAAAAAAACGGACCTCCACGAAAAACGCACAAGCGTAAAAAATAAAATATATAAAGAAAAAAGAATAAAGATGATACAAATCATGAATGTGCAAGTACCAATCAAGCAAGACACACACACAAATTTTAATTTCATTCCTCCCGGTAAGACTGAAGAGTTCTCAACGCAACGCCTCTCAACTTCTTCAAGAGGGCGGCATCAGTGCTTCATCTTGCGCGAATTCCACGGGATAATGGCGACGACTTCAAGAAACAGCACCAGCACCACCATTCCAAGCGGTATTGTCCATATGTGGAATATGGGCCATACTGCAATTGTCCACAAAACTCCTCCCGCCGTCGCCGCACACGCTGCGCTGTAAATCAAATATTTATGGGTTTCGCTCCAATTTGGATGCCGGGGTTGCACGAAGCAGCTGGTGTAAATCCACAGGGCAAAAAACACCACATAGCACAGATAGGAGATCCACATGGCAGGCTGAATGATTTTTCGGGAACGCAGCATCACCTCAACTAGGCGAGAGAATTTCACCACGCAAGACAACGCCAGGATGCTAAGAAGCTTGCCGCAATAATAATACCATTCTCTTGGTTTTGACCGGACCTCAGGCTGGTTTCTCATTCTCTCTACGGTTTCCCCTTTCCTTCTTTCTGTAATGGAAGGTGACTGCAAAATAAATTAAAAAAGTCCCCAAAGAAATATAAACGACAACAACTGGAAACAATGATGGGGGTTGAAGGCATAAAAATGTTGTGAATTCCACTTATCCATTTCTCTCTCTCTCTGTGTTTCCTTCTGTTCATCTGAACGACTGATGCAACAACAAAGATTTCAAATGTATTGTAAATATAAATAAATATAACTATATAACTATATATATATATATATATATAATAATAATGGGGGCTTGAACCCGTCCTTCAAACGAAATCTACATCTTCCGCCTCTTTAGGCATCACAAAGGGCGCTGTATCAACCCCCATTTTCTGCAAACGCTGCAATGCGTTTGCTTCAATTTCAGTCACTTGTTCCGGCTTCAGAGCTTTTGATTTATCAAACATTGGCGGCAATGCGCATACTGAAATTGCGGAAGAGCTCACCGGACGTCCAGCAGCCGAAGTGTCAGAAATTGTGTGGGACGCAATATCCTGTCGAGACAATGGTCGAGGTTGTCCCCTTTCCAGACCACCTCGCAAGACTTTTTCCTCCAAGCCAATCATCTTCAATTCCATCTCAGAGTTTGTATTCAGTACAGAAATCCAATTCTGCTCCATATTTGTCGCAAACCGGTGCAGGTCCTTCACAGACCACACCGCTTTTCGCGAAACCGCACGCTTCATCATGGCATACCTCAGTGTTTTTATCACCTCACGGGCGTCATCATCATCCTTCTTATCATTCTTACAGCGATAGATGAGCGTTGCCGGTGGGGCAAAGTCGTCAATACACTTTTCCATGCTCCTCATGTCAAGGCCACCATGATACGCTGCGCTGCTGACCAGTAACAACGGATCGTAAATACGATTAGCCCATTCTCCACCCATTGTCTCGTAATAGGAGGATAATATGACAGATAGTGTGGCAGCTGTCTGTACCGCCATTTCTTCATTGCGAAGCCCAAATGGATACGGGAAAACTGGATCGCCTATAAGATGCAACACAGCGAGCACAGAGCGCTGAATTGCTCCATAACGCGTGTAAACAGGAACTATGAGTTGTGCGGTGTTTTTCATTTCAATCAACTCCATTATGGGGACATTTTCTGATAATTTGGAGTCGCTTATCCTTTGAGATGGTTTTAGATTCACTGCAATTCCAGTCTCACTTACAAGACACGGCACAGAATTCTCGGATACGCGGTATGGCGCAGAGTTCCAGAGTTTTGACATGTCACGTCCCACGACAAAAGGTGCCACAAGCTCCGTGGAAACAACCCCAGGAGGTGGCAACCATAACATCGCCACAGCCGCACGAGTGCGAATAGCCAAACTTTCCACCACGGAGTATATAATGGCCGAGACTAAATCTAGTGCGGAGTTCATTTTTCGTAGTTTATATGTTGGAACCATGCCATTAAATGTGGCTCTGGGAGTTGATTTGACAAAGTTTGACCGAGAAAGATTGGTCCCCATGGTTTGTGTATTCAACATGGCATTGGTGTCCTGCAGATTGGACAGACGAGATTGGTTGCCCAGATCCATTTCCTGCCGATCGCGCTGACGCGAAGCCTCCAACTTTGCCTTCTGCTCCTTGAGGGCACTTATCTCTTGGTGAACGGCCGAGTGCAGCTCCCTTAGTGCCATCTGCAGCTTTGCGACTCGGTGGTTTTCCTCCGGCGTTTTTGTGTTCATCTCCTTGACAATTTTATGTATTTCATCGAAGCGGTCAGAAATGATATCGCTGAAGACACATGGTTCAAGCGAGGAGGCGGGGAAAGCATGCCGGCAACCATAACAGAGTTGCATCCTATCTCTTTAAAGAAGAAGAAAAAGAAAAGAACAGTAAAATTTAAACACGTACTTGTAAGTCATGCACACACACACACATAAGGATACACATATAGTCGTATTGAACGGCAGCATATAACCGTTTTGAGACCCTCCCACTTCAACGCGCCGAACTTCGTGATCTCAAAAAAAATCGTCCTCTAAAGGTTTATCAAGTTCCATAAGATCGTCCAACAATTTCTCGTCCATCAGAGTGCCGAGTTCAGTATTTCTCACACCGCTTGACTCTGCGCATTTTGAAAACAGAGATGTATTTTTGTTTAAGTTGTCCTCTCTGTCGTCACACTTGACACTATCGGCCGTTTTTGCATTGTTTGTTGGTTGTATCTCTTCTGCCGTCATATTTTTGACGGCTGCAAAATCAAATTCTAAATCTTTATTTCCACTGCCACCAGCAGCTGTCTCTCCGTCATTCGATGTTGACTGGAATTGCAGTGCTCCCGCCTCTATAAGGCGCAGCGCCTCCTCTTCCTCCTGCTCCAGCTGGCGCACTGGAACCTGCTGAAGCTCCTCCCGCTTTTTCAATTGCGCCCTAAACGCTCCCAGATCAATCTCCTCACGGGACGACAGCGCTGCCCGCACATCTTCACTCCGTTTGCGCAGTTCCCTGTGATACAGTCGCTTGACATCCTTACGCGAGCGACCAATGTACATGACGGAGATGGCGTTGAAGTCGGTGCCGTACTGTGAGAGAAATTTGTAAAAGTCTCTGAGTTCTTCTTCACTCCAGTCAAATCGGTTCCGTTTATGCCCGGCAAAACTATTCTTCGGCGAAGATGTCGGCTCTCCCCCCTCCGCAGCGTCGGTCGGTGAGGTTGAAAAGGTGCCCGACGCGGGCTCACAAGAAACATCCGCCTTCGTCCGGTGAAGTCTCGACCGCCGAACCCGCCGGCCACCCCGCATCATCTCACGAATGGGCCGCTTCTGACCCGAAGGCACAACTGTAGGTGGCAGCTCCTCAATCGGTACGTTCGAGAGCACCCGAAGAGGGACGTTGTTCAAAGTCTCCAAAGTGGAGTCAAACGCCTCCGTAATGGGATCCGGCGGAAATTCAAAGTCGCCACGGTCCATTTGTTCCTTTTTTTGCAAAATGTGAAATAACTGAAAAAATCAAAAATAAAATAAAATAAAAAAAAACGGAATGCATCCCATTTTACCATGCGTGTTTCAGTGCAAAAAATGCACATATTGTCAGCACCAAGAGAATGTGTAATGAAAAAAAAAAACAAAAAAACAAGTTCAACATGACAAGCACGTCCTACTCAACCAAAAAAACAAAAACAAATAATAGTACGCACACACTGAGACATACATGCACAATACATATAAATATAAATATTGTGAATGGATATATTTGTCACGATGCGTGAGCCAACAAGAAGAGCACACTGTGGATAGAAAAAGAAAAAAAAAAAAAAGAAAAAAAGTGGCGGATTAAGTCCTATTTTTTCTTTTTTTCCCCCCCCATTTTTGGTCATCCTCAACTGCGGGTTTTTTGATGCCTCAGCGACGTCAATGGAACAAAACTTACCCCACCGTGAGTTTTTTTCGTGATGGTTCCCTTCTCGTCCTTTGTGTAAAGATGCAGATGCTGCACCTCATTTTCATTTCCAACAGGAATCACAAGGCACCCGCCAGGTTTTATTGCTTCCAAGTAATCTTTGGGAACCGATGCGGCAGCTGCACCGACATGAATCACATCAAACATGGTTGTATGCGGATGAAATAACTTTGATATGTCTCTGCCGTCACCATTGATGAAGGTAATGCGGCCTTCATTCACCCAGCTAGGAAAGTGTTGAAGAACCACCTTCAATGAACGTTCCTGTAACTCTTCCACGTGCTCCACACCAACTACCCGTGATCCATCCCCGCAGATGTCAGCAAGGATGGCTGTGAGATAACCACTACCGCTGCCGATGTCCAGAACTGCCTTGGGCAAGCTCCCAGGAGTACCTAACAAAAATGGAGAAAGAAGTTCAAGCATAATGGCGTGCATATGAGGAGCACTTATAGTGGCACCGTACCCAATGGACAACGGTTCGTCCCTGTACGCCGAGCTCCGCATACCGTCCGGTACAAACCACCCGCGATCCACTCGTTGAAGTGACGCGATGATCGCCGGTGTGGAGAGAAGCGCCGCCCTTTCCAGATTCTGGATCATTGAAGCATTAGATAACGCCGAGCACGTCCACGCCATTATTGAATCCTAGTAATTACCAATGTTTTTCCAGTAAATGCGGCAGCTTTAGTTGCATCAAATAAATAATAATAATAAAGTGCAAGGCAGAAGAATTGATGGCAGGGTGCGCAGTGGGGCATAGGTTAGAAAACAACAAAAAAAAGACAACAATAAAAAAATCAAACGATATCATCTCTGTTTTGCCCAAAAATGGCGTCATTCAATGAAGCATGCGATGAATCTTGAAAAATAAATCATTGGCTCCCATCAGAATTCATTCATTCCTTTTTTTGTTGTTGTTCTTGTCAGAGCCTTACGGTGTTGCCACCTCCCAACGGTGAAGGAGGGGCCCCGTTCTTTAGCCTCTAAACCGCTGCCGTCCATCAATAAGGGAAATCCGTGTGTAAAGACGCGCTGATGATGCCTCCCTCTCACTCTCTTTGGGTAGGCGGTTGAAGAGCAACACTCTAAAACAAACTCCACTGTTCATATATATATATATATATATATTGTGTGTGTGTGTGCTTTCAATCCACCGGGTCGTTGCGCCAAAAACACAATGGTTGCAGATAAGCAAGTTTCCTTTTTCATCGTTTCCCCAGCATAGCAGCAAAATGGGCAAAAGCCTACTTATTTTTTTTTTTTTTCCTCTTACACCCTAATTCATGCTTTTTTTCTCTTCTTAATTCCTTCTCTTCCCACACATTTACACTTACAATTGAGTTGCCTTAGGGGATATTCCCTTTCCTGTTGCTATACTAAAGAACGGTGCTTACACTCCACAGACAAAAAATGCAGGGGACATCATTTACACACAGTTTTCTAATTTCCCCTCCCCCCATCCATAAAAAAAAAGAAAAAATGGGGTGGTGGTGCAGTCAGGGAAGTGAAAAGGGGGGAGTTGTGTTTGTTTCTGTATGTGTGTGTGTATGTGTGGGCTGCATTAATCCACACCCACATGCTACCACCTCGCCAATACTGTACAGAGTAAGCCAATAGCATTAGTAAACCCTTTCACTTCAAGAACTTCTCAGTGTACGGGTTTATGTTTGTGTGACTGTGTACACGTCGAGTCTCGTCGTTACATGGAAATGGGCTGCAGTTGCGTGCGCCAGCCGCAAGGAGGCCCCTCAAGGTCTGCGTAAAGATCGACTTCTTGCAGTGAGGGCAGCGGCAGCGACGTATTTGCCTCCGTCTTACACTTGCGGGTCGGTGGTTCATCCGCCGCCGCCACACTGCTGCGAGACGTTTCTCCAGGCAACGAACTCAGCGCAACGCTGGCCGTCATGGTGGACGCATCCCCCCGCGGCATTTGTTCCACCGTCACCGTCGCCTCTTCCCGCTGCCTCCGCAGTTCCTCCTTTTTCTTCGCCATCCGTTCCCGCAATACGGTAAGCGAAAATCCCACTTCCGCCACCAATGCCTTGGACGTCTTTGACTGTTCCTTCTTTTCAGTTTCCTCCTTAACAACCGCCGCCCTCGTAGATATCGCCGCTTCTGCCGCTCGAATGGGAGCAATCACCGCCTCTTCCGCGCCGCTCTCGTCAAGGAATGTCATCAACTGCTGCAATGTGGCTCGATCAACCGCCCCCACAGCTGCTGGTGGAAAAATCGCCTCTGCGGACCTTTTCGCCAGCCTCTTCAAATCCTCTCGGTCAATCACCCCCGACTTTACATACGCCTCAAGGACCTCCTTGACGCGATTGAGTACATCCCGTTTGTTTGCGCATGAGGAAGAAGAAGATGTTGACATGGTGGCTTGGCTGTTCCTTGTGAAGCCAATCTCTTGCATCAAAAAAGAAAAAAAAAAAAGACACGCACACACGCACAAAAAGGGCTTCAGAGGCAATCGTAACACTCAGTCGCAATCATCGTGCCTTGCGGCTTCACCCACAAGAGAGAAACCAAACAAACAGCAGGCAGGGAAGTGCGGAGACCACAAGAGTGGAAAAGATTCATACCTAAACACACACACACACACACACGGACACACATACAAATAACGCACAATTAAAAAAAACTACTGAATTTAAATGCCACGGCATTTCCCCCCTCCCCATCCCGACCCCTCCGCTAATATTCCCAGACGTTACAGTCCCTTCTTTCCCTTCCCTTGATTTCCCTGAAGTTCACCTATCGCAATAAAAAAACAAAGACGATCACCACACACACACACACATACACACATACACACACAACAGTCGTCACCATCCACTCTACATGTATTGTCACACGCAAATGTGAACCAGCAAACCACTAGGCAAATCTCTCCGCTACCTGCCAGGCCTTCACACGATATTCCGCAATGGGATTCTTGACAAACTGCTTCTCATACAGTGCCTCGCGCACACGTTGTCGATCACGCTGGTCCCGCATCTCGTCAAATGAATACAGCTGATTCCTTTGAAAATCACGTTGAAAGTACCGTTCCCTTGCAACAAACTTCGTAAAATTGTTCCACGCAAAAATTGCAGCATAGCATTTCAAAAACGACCACCGAATGGACGCTCCAGTGCGATTTAGAAAGCGAGTGTAAAAAAAATTGACAAAGGCTGCGCCGGCTAAACTCGTAAATACAACGGGCATGCAGCGGAGGTTCTGCCCCCAGAAGGTGCGAAGATTCCAATGCGACTCGCCCTCCGGTACCTTATATACCCGCTCAGCAAGTGACTCGTCCGGCATTGCTTGTGTGTCTAGGAAAAAGTCAAATTGGCGAAAATTTGGCTCAAAGTGAGTATCTGCCTGATTGGTGGGAATGGAGCCGTGCCAATTGAACGACGTGGGGCCAAGACCTTGCAGAATTGTTGAGTGTCCTTGCGCACCGCCGGGCATTTTTGCGTTCTCGTTTCGCCTTGTCTATGATAAAAGTGTGTATGTCTGTTTCGTGTGTAGACGCCTTGAATATCCTCTCCACGTCTGCTACTGTATTTTCCCACACCAAGCTTTTATCTTCAAAAAGAAGTTAAACAAACAAACGAAAAAGTTGAACCACCTCCACCACAAGGAAACTTTTGACCACTGTCGCAGATGCAGTGCACTCCCACTACAATGTTCTCTCAAACCTCTCTTTTTTCTTCCTTTCCTTCAGACACACGTATAATATACACACACAATTTCTCTCTCTAAGTATGTATGTATGTAGATTGTACATAATATTCCATGCCAAAGACTATTTGCAGGTATTCGCTTATTCCTGCTACCTCTTTACATCCATACATTCATCCTTTCATCAACCCCTCCGCACAGTAAGCCACACGCAGATATCGACACATAGGATCAGAAATTTCATCAAAAAGAAAAAACTTTTTTTTTTTTTTTTTTATGAGGCGGCGCGGGACTGTAACAGCAATTTTGGCGGTATGTATAGCTGGTAGTTCACGTCACTCTGCAGGTACTGCGTAAGTAATGCACGCAGCTCCGCATTCTGCGCACGCAGTGAATCGGTATCTACAATCAAATTTTTCCGTTGCTGGAGCTGGGCAATGTACAATTTCAGGCCTTTTTCAAGTGCTCCCCACACACGCTGGTGCTCTTTTGGAACCGACCTCGCCATGCGCAACCAGTACTCCTTTTCAGCAGCACGCCGACGCTCCTCCAGCTTCATCTTTGCCATTTCTTTGTTCCTCTTTGCCGATTCCTTCTGCCCCTCTTCCTTCTGCTTCTTCTCCCGCTGCTTTTCTGTGAGAAACGTCGAAAGTGCACGAACGGCATCTTGCGGACGAATAAGTGCCGTTGTTTCTTCGGGACCATCTACAATGAAATACTGCAGAAGGTCATCCATCTCCTCGTTTTTGCGAATCTGCAGTGTGGCAAGAATAGACTCCACCATGGCGCGATCCTCTGTGGCATCTTGCACTTGTCGTATTGCCGCATACACGTTTTCGTCTGCAATGAATGGGGCTTGTTTGTGCAGAATTGCAAGGAGCATCAGCGCTTCTTCGGAGAGTTCAATCTCATCGTCGCTACTGGAAACATCCACCTCATTATCCTCTACTGCATCCGCCGCTTCATCATCGAGCCAGTATTTTAGCTGCGGTGGATTCCACGGCACCCCCAATATTTCCTCAAAGAGAACA